GGAGCTAAACACAGAGTGTCACTACTGCTGGAATCTAACCTGAAATCACTGCCTGACTAACTGTCTGTAAACTGTCTGAGGACGCTGAGGGTGAGGATTCAGAGGGCAGCATTTAGTGGTGTCTGCACGTCCTTTCACATTTTCACTCATTGAGTTTGTTTCACTGACAGAGCCGCAGATAAAGGGCACAAAACAGGAACTTATCTCCTGAATAAAACAGGAACTTATCTCCTGGACTAAAAGGATGTTTTACTTAATCAGCCTAAACAAGTGTCATGAGACTGTGTGAACTATGAGGAGTAAACAGAGACCGCGGTTTGCGCCCTCTGGTGGCGAGCACATCAACTGTTTCAGAGTCCTCTACGTAAACAGCTGGTTTAACCTTTGGGTGGGGGGACTAATAGCGCCCCCCAGCCCCCCAGCATTCCTCCAACTCAATGAAACAGTGATAAGGTCAATCAGAAACAAACTACACACGTGAAACTTCCTCTGCGCATGCTCAGTCAGGGTTCTCATGCCACTAACTCCTTTTAACACAGCAGCTTCTAAATGTTCCCACTCACTCCACACCGGCAGGGTCACAGTCTCAGAGGCAGAGGAGGAAGACCAAAAACTATTATACAAACACAGAAGGGAAAATGCACTTTATCCCACATTTGGGACATTTTTATATATTATCATCGTTATTAGTATTATTGTTAGCATTAGTATTGTTGATGTTGTTATAAATGTAAATGCCAATATTTTTTATAATTAAAGATTTATTCAGGATGTTCAGGAAAAAATAAGTTAACATCAGGGAAAAACTCCAACATAAAGATTGTTTTTTTAATAAACAAGAAGAGAGGTCCGTTATGTTATTTGGATGTACGGATCTTTGTAAAGAAGCTAAGTTTCATCTTCCTCCCTCCCTGAAAAACGAAAATCTCTCGGGGCTTTTTTGCTTTTCGTTTCGACTTTAGATTCATCAAGCTGCTCAGATTAACACCGGAAATAGGAGCGGTGGACGCCACATTCAAATTAGAGAGTTGCCTTTTATGCACATAATTCAAAAACTGTAAAACTACATGAGAACAATACCCCCAGAAAAAACATATAGACTGGCAGATGATGATTACTTGGAAATATTGTTATTTATAATTTAAAAATTACAAAATTTGTGATGTTTCTTTCTTAGGGTTTAGTTAGTTTCCTCTGACTGGATTTAATTGGTTTTGTTTATTATTTTGGCCTGGGTTCACCCTGGAGCTATGCTTCCCTGAAATCACATTTTTTACTCATAACTGGTTTCGGATGTTTGGCTTGGGAACCAGGGCGGGTATTGCCTCTCTCTCCTCCAACCTTATGTGCGTCTCTACACGCCTAGACTAGAGGCGTAAGAGAAAACTTGAGAGATGTGCGCTATCACCAGTCTCACAAGCACAAGGACCTTGAAGAAATTCTAAATCAAATTTTCCCACTCCACGGTCAGTTACACAGTTTCTGTTATGCCACAGTGACACATCTCAGATCTGATGAAAAAGGACGAAAGTATGCCGAGTTTCCCCACAGAGGCAATGGCTTCTTTTTTAAGCTTGAGGAGATTTTATTTTGAAAAATACATAACCGGATGTTGCTATCGTCGGTTGATGGCAGCTTGACTCCTGCTTTCATCTCCGGTGAGGACACACAGGTAACCGCTCCAGGTGTTTAAGCGACGGCTACCCCACTGTTAACGCTTCGGGTGGATTCAAACTGATTAGGTGGGGTATGGTTATTAGCTTGAATGCGAAGCTTTGACGAGAACCGGGAAAACAATGGTATTTGGCGAAGTAAAGTTTGTACAGTGCTGTTAGCAGGCAGGGTTAGCTACAGTCTGGCTGCTAGCTCAGGTTAGCCGTGCTAACAGAAGTAAACTAATGTTGGCTTTAATTTCCAAAGGCGCGTTACATTTCCGCGCGGTGTTAGTTTGTCACTTGCGCTCTTTAATCCAAAAGGTGACACCTGACACGTGAGGGATACACTTATTCACAGGAAGACAGAATCAGATGCTAGTTTAGCAGAGCAGCTAGCCTGAGCAGGATGCCGTCCGCGCCGATGGACGTCACACAAGACTCGCCTTAAATTCGGTCCGGGTTACGGTTACCGTCCTGATCCGGACCGACATGCAGCTGATAATAAATCTTTTTAGGTGGTTCTTAATGCCCAAGGGTGCCTCCTTTAATCCGGCTGTAGTGTTATACTTGAATTAACCCGTTAATGTCTTGTTTTCTAGACTTTGGTGAAGTTGGTTAGCTTACAGTGTTTACTGTAAACACGTTAGCCGAGCGGAGAGAAACGGGAGCTATCCCTACACACCGGACATCAAACCCGGCGGGTAGGCTGGTGAGGTGATGCTCTGTGGTTCTTTAGCGGGACTCTCAAAGTTTCTTATCGTCGGCTTTAGCAGAACAGCTAACGCTGTAGCTGCCAG